AAAAAAACATTCCTTATCTTGATATACTTCATAAAGACAAAGACGATAAAACAACTAACGTCAAAAAATAGAAAATAATCGTGAGAAAAGCAGCCGAAACAGCGTAAACTAGGGAGAAAATGGCTAAAATACAGCTGATCGCCGCGCTCGCAACACACCGCAGCCGCGTCGCGTCCCTTGCCGCCCAAATCAAGTCACCGGATGTAGGATGAGATCCCATTCGCTTGATGAGCTGGGGTCTTTCTCGTTCGGTCCCTTGTTACTGTACCTCCATAAGGACATGAGCACTGTTTTCTACCAGTGGTTTTGACTGTCATGATGATAAATAAACTCAGGTAGTCTTCCTATTTTTGAGTATAAGATTCTTCCGGCATCTGGAAGAAGAATATGAAAGAGAGTGAGTACTGGGAGGAACAACTGATACAGATAAGCGGCAGAGGCGCCGGGAACGAGTTCGTACCAGCACGAGTTTAGAGAACGGCGAAAGACCATCGTTCAAGTTTCTTTTCATGGTAGGGGTCGAGGGTTAGACGTCGACGAGTGCGCAACCCGTTTCATGCCAATTCGAAATCAATCAATCGTTCATTCGGTCGGGGGAGGACGACGACGATCACGCTGACGGTTTGGCGCAGAGCGGTGTCGTGACAACGCTCACGATACCAGACGTTCATCATCGCTACTGTACTTACTTTCGGATGTCTTCTGCAATTTCACGGACCTTCTAAGCATGTCAAGAAGGTCGAACTCCGTTCTGAACGCGGTCAGATGATTTTCTTCACTTTTTCATAGTTTCCTTCGCGTCACTCGAATTGCTAGCTTCTGAGAAAAAAAGAGAATTTGCGTTCATCCTTCCCACCAGTGTGTCCGAGAGTTGATTTCTTCTGGACATCGTCCAGTCTAGGGTAGTGTCCCAAGTCACGAATGAGATATAGCCTCCCGTGGGCTACCTGTTATTGCAGCAGTTGTCTCCTTCAGGTCCGTTCAGTCCGTGGACGTAAGACCCGGGTGCTTCGCTCACTCGATGTCGTTCAGTCATTCAGTCACCCAGCTGATCGTGAGCCGTGGCCTCACGATCAGCTGGTCTTGGGCGATCGAAACGGGAAGGGTCGGTCATTCTGGGAACTGGTATCCACAATTGTCTGGATTTTCGGTGATTTCCGTCGTAATGGTTCTTGACCTTTTCCACCTCACGTGGTACGCGTTTCTCTGATTCCCAGCATTCGCCTGCACCCTCCTATCGCGACGTGTGAACTTTAAAAATCACAACATTAAACAAAGCAGACGTTCAAAGGCAGGCAACTGAATGCAATTCCTGCACAATACTTGGCACGATCGCCACTTCTCCAAAGCTAACCAGTGGGAATCCTCACAGGGAACATTCTTTAGTGCTTCATATTTGAACTTCATGAACGCCTTGAACGCTCTCACCTGTACACACTCTGGTTAACAAAGTTTCTCCGCTGGATCTCCTCCGCTTACCGTTCTGTGTTCAGCAGACTGAGTAGTACTCATGAGTCTTGTTAGTGTGCGCAGGGTACCCAGCAGATGTATGAAGCGGGTTCTAACCTTTCTGTCTCAAGTACGACTTTGCTCCTCACATGCGGACTTACCCACATCGCACTCTTTTTGCGCACCTCTTCCCTTCGGTTTTCCGGAAACTAATCCGTCGAGAGGAGAGGGTCAAAATATCACAAATATTACTTCCTTCCCTGAATTCCCGCATCGATGTAACCAAGATTCAGCGATCCCAATACGGTATATCTCCCGAATAACTGGACCCCCTCACCGCAAGGGCGCATCATTGCTGCTTGACTCATCAAGAGCACGTTCTGGTCCGTTGGGGAAGGGGAAGGGGAGGAGGCTGCGTATATCTCAATGATTATTGGTTATTGTTCATATTTTCCTTGTATCTACTAGTTCATATTCGCCGTCAGCCCGTTCTCCTTCGAAACTCTGAGGTGTTTGGCTGCGAGAGAAAAAAAATACCAATGGGTCATACAAATTACGTAACAATTTTAGCATGAATAAGATGTGTTACCCTCTCATCCTAACTGCTTGAAGATTTCTCGAAGATGGTCT